TGCCTTCGGAAGTTGTGGGAGCTTCATCCCTGGAAGCTTTCAAGAAGAGACTGGACTGCCATCTGTCAGAAATAGTATATAGGGTCTCTCGCTTGGGGGGGGGGGGTTGGACTAGATGACCTATAAGGTCCCTTCCAGCTCTGTTGTTGTTATTATCTATTTTATTTATTAAACATGAAATTCAGTCAACTGAACTTTTTAAAATGTATCAAAATATTTATTATTATTATTATTATTATTATTATTATTATTATTATTATTGATGATGATGATATATACTTTCTAAGTCTATTATTATTATATGTGGTCAATCTTTGGTGAGATTATTATTATTATGATTATTACTATTATTATACTTCATTCATTAAATATGAAACTCAGTCAACTGAACATTCGAAAATGTATCATAAATATCATTGACTGATGCTAATGGTTGATACAGGTTGCTGCCAGTGTCCTAGGTATCAACCAAGGACCTTCTTAAAATATACGATGTTCCGAGTAGCGCTGTTTTTTGCAGTTCCACTGGGGTTATTGCAGGAAGCTGAAATTTGCTGATGTATCTTATAAAATTCTTGGACATGGTATTATTGGACATCATCATCATATTATTATTATTAGTAGTAGTAGTAATAGTAGTACTGTAAGCTCAGAGTCAGTATCCAACATGCAACATTAAGTAACCCAGAGGAATTTTCACTAAATGTCTACAATGTATTAAACCAGCAATGACCCTGGATTTATCAACCTCCCAAATTAGACTTTGGAGAACTTCTGCGATAAAACTAAAAAGCTATTTCACAGACCTCAAGGCTCCGGCTTAGAAATATTTATCTAACCATTGTCCTGTTTATTTCCACACTTCCTTTCATGAAAGGGCAGGTTAGTTCAAAAACTTGAAGGCCTTTGAAATCAGGTGCTGGAGAAGACTCATGCGAGTCCCTTGGACTGCAAGGCCATCCAACCGGTCAGTCCCAGAGGAGATCAACCTTGACTGCTCTTTAGAAGGCCAGATCTTGAAGAGGAAACTCAAAGACTTTGGCCACCTAAGGAGAAGGAAGGAAGCCAAAGAATGGAGGCCTTGGAACTCTGGTGCTGGAGAAGACTCCTGCATTGAGTCCCTTGNGCGGAGCTGGCAGCAGATTCGGACAGTGAGGAGGTTGGGGAGGAACCTGGGCCAGTCCTGGAGTCTGGGGAAGGTTCGGATGAGGGCTCTGTGTCGGAGGCAGAGAGGGGGACAGAGCCGTATGCCGGTTATCAATTGCTTCCAGAGTCAGACATCAGTGGGGCAGAAGAACATCTGGAGCCTGTTCCCAGTGTGCACATGCGCAGAGTTGCCAGACAAAGGGAAGAGCTAAAGAACAGGGGTCGACTTTGGAGTAAAGGCCACAGGTGGACGATGAAGGGCCCCTCCCAGAGGAAATAAAAAAGGAGCGAAAGGGGAGTAGAGTTTGCAGGAGACCATTAGTTCAATTCATTGGTTCGTGACCCTCCAAGGCTCCTTGGGAAGTTTTGCAGATCTCGGCCTGGCAGCTCTCCAAGCCAGATAAAGTCTGTGACTGTAAATCCTCCCTCGAAAGACGTTGCTGGATGTGAATGAGCAGAATTCAACAGTCAATTAATAAAAGGGATTTCTGTCGGCACCAGGAGTTTGCTTCATGCTCTTGGGAAGCCTAGATCGTAGTAGCTTCCTTGCAAATCATGAGAATCTGTCTCGTGATAAGATAAAACAAATCCACGATAAGCACATTTTGCAGCCCCGTCAGGTGTGATGTTCAGTGGTGTAAATTGCACTAAAAGGGATTTGATTTGTTCACAGTTGAAACCAAGAAAGAATTCAGTCTTCTTCGTTTAATTTTTATACTGCAACTCTGGGCAGTGTGTAGATTGTCCAACGAATGGAAAAATAATTAAAATATATTAAAATTGCTTGCCACAGTTGTTAAACAAATCATTGCAATTTGTTCAATTGGTCGTTAAGTGAATCATTGACTTCGCTTGGTCAGAAGGTCTCAAAAGGGGATCACATGACCCCGGGACACTGCAACGGTCGTAAATACAGGCGGTCCTCAACGTATGATCACAATGGAGCCCCAAATCTCTGTTGCTAAGGGAGATATTTGTTAAGTGAATTTTGCACCGTTTCATGACTTTTCTTTGCCACCGTTGTTAAGTGAATCACTGCAGTTAGTAACACAATTGCTTCCCCCCTACTTTCCCCATTGTCCAAATTTTGATCACGTAAGCATGAGGTGGGTGGGGGGAATGCTGTAACCTTCATAAATGGGAGGGGGGGGAGGTAATAAATCACTTTTTTCATTGCCGTTGTAAATTTGAAAGGCCACTAAACAAACGGCCGTAAGTACAGGACTACATTTTTATTTTTTTTTAAATGAAATTTAATTCCACCCGACTGGAGAAATATAACATCGCCCCTGGCTACGTTTTTGCAAGGTAGGGTGATTTCCCCATTCAAAGAGGGCAAGAAAATTCCACACACGTTTTGACTTGCTCAAAACCTTGCCAAAATTGCAGTGACGTGAGATCAGAAATATGCCGTATCATCCATCATTTAGGACAGGCTCCACTGAATTCAACTGAGGAATGCACAGAATTACAGGTAGTTCTCAACTTACAGCGATTCATTTCATAGCCATTGCAATTCTTTTCTTTTGCCAATTTTTATTTTTTTAATTTTTCATTCTCTTATATACCATATGAGCCAAGGTGGCGCAGTGGTTAAATGCAGCACTGCAGGCTACTGCTAGATCAGCAGGTCAGCGGTTCAAATCTCACCGGCTCAGGGT